GGGGGGGGGGTCCCTTCCATTCCGGCCATTAATAGATTATTATATAAATCCCCACCCACTTCTTTTGCACTCTCGACTGACCTGGCATTTGGCAGCAAGAGTTTCAACCCAGAGAGTTGTTTATGTTTGCGGATGGCTTAAGGGCAACCACGATCCTTCCGCCCCCCCCCTTTCACTTTCATGGGGTTTTTAGTGCTTTCCCCCCACCAGATCTCCCCTTACCCTGAACAAGTCCTGTAGCTGTAGGGTAGGAGGGAAAAAATGCAACCCATCAGAAGTCCCAGGCTTACACATCGTGCTGTGAGTGGTCTTTACTGACCAGATAGGTGGGATATAAATAAAATAAATAAATGCATAAATAAACAAAGCCGGGGTCTCCAACCTTAGGCCTCCAGATATTCTTGGACTACAACCCGGTGAAGCCTTCACCACCACCTCTGCTGGCAAGGATTTTGGGAGTTGAAGTCCAAGAACATCTGGAGGCCCAAGGGTCGAAACCATTGCTGCAAAGGATATGACACGACCACTCGTAGGAGGGTTTTTGAAGTATATGCGGTGATCAAAAGGGGGTTCACCATTGCCGTATAGGGATTTTACCCCTTCAAAGACATCCTAGATTTCAGGCCAATTGGCTGGATCAGTCCCTGCCCACTCAGGTCACCTCCTCCTACAGCCCCCAACCATTTTTCTGGCTCACCTTCTTTCCCTGTGTGTATTAAGAGGTAAGCTCGTTCTGTATTAAGAGGTAAGCTTGTTCTGTTGTTTTGTGCTTCCCACCATCCAGGCCAGCTAACTTGAATGACCAAATTTTTCTCTCCGGGTCTGTAAGAGGCGACTGCATGTTCGTCTTCCTCTTTCCCTCCTCCCTCCTCATTGTTTCTTCATTAGCTGCCTTTTTCCTCCTTTTTCTTCTTTCCAAAGGAGAGAGAGAGATGGAAATGTATCTCCACATGATAAGAAAACTACAAAACCATGCACTATTATGAAATGTCTTTTGTTTGCTTTATCCAAGATGCCTGATACTTGGACTGATACTTTTTCTTTTTCCTCAAAGGTAGTGGTTGAAAGTGAGCAGATCTCCGCTCACTTCTCTCTGGACCAAAAGGGAATAAGCCAATTCCAAATCCCTCTTAACATTTTTGAGGTATGCAAGATGTCATTACAGTATTTGTTCATAGCATTGAATCATGACATTGGAAGGAATATTATAAGGTTATATAGCCCAATCACCTTCTCTGTGTAGAAATTAAAATGCATCTGACAGATGGCTGCCCAGTTATCCCGCAGCCTCTAGTTCCACTGTTGTACTGCTGAAATTGTTAGAAGGTTTTTCCTGATAATCAATTGAAATCTGGCTCCCTGAGTGCATTAATTTGTGTCCTACACTCTGGTAAGACTGAGAATAGATTCTGCCTCTCTATCCAATAACCTTTCATGCATTTGAAGAGTGTGTTCATAGTCTTCTTTCCTGAAGGCTAAACATGCCCAGTTTGTTGAGTCTTTCCTTCTGGTGCTTGGTTTCTAGTTCCTCTTCAGTTGTTCTTACTACCTCCTTCTGAGCCTATTCCCATTGGCCTGCAACCTTCTTAAAGGGCAGAACTGGACATGGTGGTTTATAGGAAGCCTAGCAAGTGCCGAGTAATGAGGAAGGAAGACTTGATGTCATTTGGAGATGACACCCCTGCCAATGCAGCTGAAAAGAGAGTTTGCCCCGGGGTTTTTTATATGTGATTCCCATAATATTATTCCCCACCACAAATGGGGAATCTGGCTCCCTGAGTGCATTAATTTGTGTCCTACACTCTGGTAAAACTGAGAATAGGTCCTGCCTCTCTGTCCAATAACTTTTCAAGTATTTGAAGAGTGCTTTCATATCACCCACCAGTCTTCTTTCCTGAAGGCTAAGCATGCCCTCTTCTTTCAGCCTCTCATCCTGGGGTTTGGCTTCTAGTTCCTCCTCAGTCATCCTTACTGCCCCCCCAAGCCTGTTCCTGTTGGCCTTCTTAAGTTTCAGAAATGGACACTGTAGTTTATAGGAAGCCTAGCAACTACGGGAGGCAGTGGAAGACAGGAGGGCCTGGCGTGCTCTGGTCCATGGGGTCACGAAGAGTCGGACACAACTAAACGACAACGAGCAAGTGCTGAGTAGGGAGGAAGGAAGACTCGGCATCATTTGGAGACTACCCCCCTGTCAATACAGCTCAAAAGAGACTTTGCCCTGTTTTTTTATATATGTGATTCCCATCAAAACATAAAGGTACTCAATTCCCCATCACAAATGGGGAACAACAAGAAGATATTATCCTTGTTGAGTGTTTTCAGCTGTTGGGTACCGTGTTTCCCTGAAAATAAGACAGGGTTTTACATTAATTTTTGCTTCGAAAAACACATTAGGGCTTATTTTCAGGGGATTTTTTTTCATGTACAACAATCTACATTTATTCAAATACAGCCGTGTCATCTTGTTCTGGTTACTGCACAATGGTGAAAGGTGGGGTTTCCCTTACTAGGTCTTATTTTCAGGTTAGGTCTTATTTTTGAGAAAACATGGTACATTGATGAAGTAAAAGATTTTCTACCAGGAACTTGGCTTTAAGGGGAAAATGTTTCTGTTCAGAAAAGTGAAACAACTACACTCTTCAGCCACAGATTCCCTCTGTGGAGATTAGAGTGGAGGAGACCAAATGGTTCTATGTAGCATCAATTGTTTTACATTTTACTAATAAATGTATTTTAGTAATGGTTTTATGCAGAATTATGGGAATTGTCATTCTTGAGGACACAGCTGCAAAGTTTTGTGATACTAGATGGGATATAAATATTCAAAAGGAATGAAGAAAGCTTTGTGTTTAAAATGAGGTGCAAGAGTGAGAAGACAGAAACGATATTCTCAAACCTGAACAATCAATCCTTCCATATTTCGGTGTCAATCCCATGCACCTGTGGAACAATACCAACATGAAAATGAAGAGTTGTAGACCATGGTCCCATTTTCTTTTCTCTCTTAGGAGAAGATGGCCTTTTAAAAATTTCAGAGAGGAAGTGGAAACAAAATGAAGATAGAAAGTGGAAGGAAGGCAAGGCCACTAAAGGAGAGAGGAGGAGAGATGATCAGCCAAGAATTGCAAGAATAGCATTAGGAAGGCAAAAGCTGAGAATCAGCTCAGCTAAAGGCTACAAAAACATTATTCATTATGTGGCAAAAGATAGAAAAAAAGAAACAGCGACTCAACGTGTATGGAAAATCCTGCCAGATGAATCCCATTTTTGGAGAGGGTAACCTTCCTGGTAGATGGTGGGAATGCTCTCGATCACGGGTTCCCGACCTGGGAGTGTGGGACGCCTAAAGTAATTGTCCTTTGAAAAGGCACTCTGGTTCTTTTTAGTTATTATTTTTATACGAAATCTCACCATGGTTTTCTGCACTCATTTTATTGCCAACATCAAAGGACAACCATCCCATTAAATATTAGGGTAGATTTATATTGAAAACTCTGTTCATGGTTTTTTCTTTCCTCGTTAAATAGCCTTATAGAAACGTGGTGGAGTTGCAGGTTACTTTAGAGCAGTGCCCCAAACTCTGTGTGTGTGTGTGGGAAACAGTGGGAGGCATGTGGTGGCGGTGGCAGAAACGGAACTGGCAGCGGAAGGGGAAATCCTGGCACGGAGGTGCCTCGAGACCCCACTCTGGATCTGCTGCCAGTACCAGCTGCTCCTGATCCACCTTCTGAAGCACCAGCAGCACAGCTAGAGCTGCTTCCTCAGGTTTGGCTGCACGGGGTGGGGGAGTAGCGATGTGGTGACTTATGGCTCGCATACTGGCAGTAAGGGCTCCATGTGCCAGATGTGGCACACATGCCGTAGGTTCGCCATTGCTGCTGTAGAGGGTGTGATTCAAAAAAGGTTGGGAAAGATTGCTCTTGATGGGATACAGTGGTGCCTCGACTTACGAACGCCCCTACCTACGAATATTTCAACTTAAGAACAGCTCCGTTCGCAAAATTTTGCTTCGACTGGTGAGTGGAGCTTTGAGGTCCAAACAGAAAAAAGGCAGGGGGAAAAAGGGGGAAATTCAAACTGTTCCCTCTGCTGCTGCTGGGAGGCAAGCTGCCGGACCATGCCGCCGGGCTCTGCCTCCTGTCCCCTCTGCCTCCTGTCCTGCTGCCCTGTGGTGGAGGCAGCGAGGACGAGAGGCAGAGCCTCTCTGGCATGGTCCAGTGGCTCGCCTCCCAGCAGTGGAGGCAGCGGGGTATGATGCTGCTTTCTGTTTTTAAAACTGTGCTGTTTTTATAGTACAATATTTTTTTAGAAATGCTGGAACACATTAATCATGTTCCCATGCATTTCAATGGGAAATGGTGCTTCGACTAATGAAAATTTTGACTTACGGCCACCGTTCCGGTGCCCTATTATGAGTTGGATGAGGGAGTGCAGCCATACTTCTCAAATTTCCAAATGGCACAAAAAATGACGGAATAGTTAACATCCTGGCAGAAACAAAATTCAGAAGATCTTGGTTAATTTAAGATCTTTAAGATCCCTGGGCCGAGAACAACAGAGTGAAATTTAACAGGGATAAGTGCAACTTATTACACCTAGGGGGAAAGAAACGACCATGCAGTTAAAAGATGAGGGTTAATCGGCTCCGTAATACTAAACGGGAGAATGATCTTGGAATTGTGATTTACAAGCTGAATATGAGCCAACAGTGCAATATGGCTGCGAAAAAGGGACCAACAAAAAGGTCTCTCGTGATGGTTTTAATACCCAAATAATGGGAGATTGGTAGTTTAGACAGCTTGGCCTCAAATAATTTGGGCTTTGTAGGTTAGAACTAACACCTTGAATGGTGCTCGAAAATAGATCAGCAGCCAGTGGAGCTGCTTTAAGTTGTATGTTACCTGTAACCAGCCCCAGTTTCAGTTTGGCTCCAGCTTTTTTTTACTTGCTGGTTTTTCCAAACACTTCACCAAAGATAACCCCATGTAGAATATGTTACAGTCATCCAGGCAGGAAGTGACCAAGGAATGTGAGACTATGGCCAGCTCAGACCTGTCCAGGAGTGGGCACAGCTGGCACACTAGCGTGCAAAGGCACTTCTGGCCACCACCAAGACGTGGGAAAGCAGGCTAAGAGAAGGCTCCAGGAGCACCCCCAGACTTCACATCTGAGTTTTCAGGAGTACTATAATCATATGCAGTATAGACCGAGCCTCTGGGAGATCTGATAGCAGTTTTCAAAGACTTTAAAGGTAGTCTTAAAAGAGGAGGGGCAGAATCTCTTCTTAACCATCCCAAAATGCACGAAACATAATAGAGAAGCCCAGGTTTTGATTGAATATTAGGAAAAACTCAGCATTAGAGCAGTCTGAGCATGAAATCAATGACCTTGGAAAGTGGAGGGAATATTAAAGCAACCATATTGCCTATCTCTTTTAATTTTGATTCCTGGAGAGAGGCTATCAATGACCCTATAGAATCTTAGAATCATGGAAAAGGGAAGCTGGAAGGGGCCTACAAGGCCATAAAGTCAAACTCCTGCTCAACAAAGGAATACAATCAAAGCATATGTGCCAGGTGATTATCCATGTTTTTCTTGAATGCTCCTGGTGTTGGAGCAGTCACTAACTCCCGAGGTAACTGATTCCACTTTCGTACTGCTCTATAGTTCCTTTCCAACAAAATTATTCTATGCTTTTCTTCTGATTCACTGAATCATTTTTATATGTTTTAATAGGTTCTGTGCTATATTCTTCTCTTTTAATCAGATAACAAAGCATTCAAATGAACTTCAGATATCAATAGACAATGCTAAACTTGACCCAAAGGAAAAACTAAATCAATGAATGGAGCATGGAAAGACCATGAACACCAACAATAATTGTTCAGGTGAAAAACCCTTCAGAAGGGTGAAGCAGTATAAATGCCAGCCATGTGGAAAGAGCTTCAGCCAAAGGAGTACTCTGACCTCACATCAAAGAACCCATACCGGGGAGAAACCTTATGAATGCATGGAATGTGGAAAAAGCTTCAATCGGAGTTTTTCCCTTAGGTTACATCAAAGGACTCACACAGGGGAGAAGCCATATAAATGCATGGAATGCGGAAAGAGCTTCAGTGGAAGCAATCACCTCAGGTCACATCAAAGAACACATACAGGGGAGAAACCATATAAATGCATAGAATGTGGAAAGAGTTTCAGTCGGAGTGGTGTCCTTAGGATACATCAAATAACTCACACAGGCGAGAGACCATATAGATGCATGGAATGTGGAAAAAGTTTCAGTTGGAGTGGTTTCTTTAAGTTACATCAAAGAACTCATACAGGGGAGAAACCATATAAATGCATAGAATGTGGAAAGAGCTTCAGTTGGAATTGTACTCTTAGTTTGCATCAAAAAACTCACACAGGGGAGAGACCGTATAAATGCATTGAATGTGGAAAGAGCTACAGTAAGAGTGATCATCTTAAATCGCATCAAAGAACCCATACAGGGGAGAAACCATATAAATGTATGGAATGTGGAAAGAGCTTCATTTGGAGTGGTGACCTTAAGTCACATCAAAGAACACATACAGGGGAGAAACCATATAAATGCTTGGAATGCGGAAAGAGCTTCAATCACAGCAGTACCCTTAGTTCGCATCAAAGAACTCACACAGGGGAGAGGCCATATAGATGCATGGAATGTGGAAAGAGCTTCAGTCAAAGCGGTATCCTTAGGTCACATCAAAGAACCCATACAGGGGAGAAACCGTATAAATGCATGGAATGTGGAAAGAGCTTCAGCCATAGTGGTCACCTTAGTTTGCATCAAAGAACTCACACAGGGGAGAAACCATATAAATGCATAGAATGTGGAAAGAGCTTCATTCGGAGTGATTACCTCAGGTTACATCAAAGAGCTCATACAGGGGAGAAACCATATAAATGCATGGAATGTGGAAAGAGCTTCAGTCGGACTAGTGTCCTTAGGTTACATCAAAAAACCCACACTGGGAGGAAACATATGAATGCATTGGATGTGCAAAGCTTTAGTTAGACAAACAGTTCCCATTAGAGAACTCAGATAGGATAGAAACTTTAGGAATACACAGAATGTGGCTTGAGCTTCAGTTGAAGAGGTAATCTTAGCTGTCTGAAGTATTAAAAAATTAACGTAATGGGAGGCAGACTTGAAAACTGCTTTTTGAAAGATGCATCAGAGATGCATTAAAAGTGAGAGCTGGGGATATAGTTACATTACATTATAGCCCCTTGTTTTGGTACAAAAACACCATTGATAAGTTAATAAGGCAGAAGTCACTCATTCAGTTTTGTGCTGGATCCCACTGGAAAGAACAGATAAGCAAATGCTGATGTAACGTGAAATAGAAAAGGGAAAAAATGGAGAGAATTTTGAAGTGCCACCTGTGATGTGTTTTACTTCTAACGTTAATTAGCAAAGAGATACAGATCCTCAACATCTGAGCTTCTCAGGTTGGGAAAGCGAAGAGGCAACTGGATAGCTGGAGCCACGATTGTGGCAAACGGAGCAAACTGTACACGCGCAAGGAGCATTCCTGCATGGCCACCACAGACTGTACCTGCCCAGGACAAATTAGAGCCAGCCCCCTGCGTGCTTCGGCCCACCCAGGATCAGCCCATAGACCTAGCCCACAGGGAAGATGCCTAAAAGAAGGATGACTCAGGAAGAGACGGTGGGCTTTGAAGAGCGCTGCATCGTTGCCCCCATCGCTCTTGAAGGACTGACGCTGAATATCACAGTTGACATTTCTTTCAAAATCATTCATTCATTTTCCATTGGGTGAGGGAAAATCATAGGGAAGGGGATTTGAATCAGGGTATTGGGGTGAATAAAAATACAACCAAAGATGGAGAAGCTCTATACAGTCAGCAAAAACAAGACCTGGAGCTGACTGCGGCTCTGATCATCAGCTTCTCATAGCAAAATTCAAGCTTAGACTGAGGAGAGTAGGAAAAACCACTGCGCCACTCAGGTATAATCTAAACCAAATCCCTTATGAATACACAGTAGAAGTAAAGAACAGATTTAAGGAACTAGATTTGCTGGACAGAGTGCCTGAAGAACTTTGGATAGAGACCTGACCACCTTAGCTATCTCCTGAGAAACCTATATGCGGGACAGGAAGCAACAGTTAGAACTGGATATGGAACAACTGATTGGTTCAAAATTGGGGAAGGAGTACGACAAGGCTGTATATTGTCCCCCAGCTTATTTAACTTATATGCAGAATACATCATGCGGAAGGCTGGACTGGAGGAATCCCAAAACGGAACTAAGATTGCCAGAAGAAATATCAACAACCTCCGATATGCAGATGATACCACTCTGATGGCAGGAAGTGAGGAGGAATTAAAGAACATTGTAATGAGAGTGAAAGAGGAGAGTGCAAAAAATGGTCTGAAACTCAACATCAAAAAAACTAAGATCACGGCCACTGGTCCCATCACCTCCTGGGAAATAGAAGGGGAAGCCATGGAGGCAGTGACAGATTTTATTTTCCTGGGCTCCATGATCACTGCAGATGGAGACAGCAGCCACGAAATTAAAAGACGCCTGCTTCTTGGGAGGAAAGCGATGACAAATCTTGACAGCATCTTAAAAAACAGAGACATCACCTTGCCAACAAAAGTCCGGATAGTCAAAGCTATGGTTTTTCCTGTTGTGATGTATGGAAGTGAGAGCTGGACCATAAAGAAAGCAGACCGCCGCAGAATGGATGCCTTTGAATTGTGGTGCTGGAGGAGGCTCTTGAGAATCCCCTGGACTGCAAGGAGAACAAGCCTATCAATTCTAAAGGAAATCAACCCTGAGTGCTTACTGGAAGGACAGATCCTAAAGCTGAGGCTCCAGTACTTTGGCCATCTCATGAGAAGAAAAGACTCCCTGGAAAAATCTTGATGTTAGGAAAGTGTGACGGCAAGAGGAGAAGGGGATGACCGAGGATGAGATGGCTGGACAGTGTCTGCGAAGCAACCAACGTGAATTTGACACAACTCCGGGAGGCAGTGGAAGATAGGAGGGCCCTGCTGTGCTCTGGTCCATGAGGTGACGAAGAGTTGGACACGACTAAACGACTAAACGAACGAACAAAAAAATACAGAATGTGACAGCAGTATATATCGTTATTTCTTTTGCAGATTTGTTTTCTTACAAAGCTTACTTCACACTTATCTTACAATTTGTTTCTAAGTGTTTAAAATCTAAAATTATATTTTTCTTTCTCATAAATTTAACCCATTCATGTTCTCATACAGTATCTCATTCAGTCATACCAAGTTTCCCACTTTTTTCTAGCCTCAGCAATTTCTTTGTCTTTTAATACTTCAGTAAAATATCCATCTCTGCTGCTTCAAAATATCTTTCTATTAACTCCTGGGTTGTTGGAGTCTCTAATTTTTTCCCAGATTTTAGCATCTAAAATTCTTGCTGCTATAGTTCCTTTATGATTAAATATATTTTCTCATTTTCTATCGAATCTAGTATTATTTTTTTAAATGGTTCACGTTCATATGGAATTATAGAGGATAACATTTTTTTGTAAAAACTCATGGACTAGTTTCCCAAAGCTCTTAGCTTCCCTACAAGTTCACCACATATGATAAAAACAACCTTCTTTTGATTAGAATTTCCATCATTTGTTAGAGGTACTTTGATATATTTTCAATCATTTTTCAGGTATCAAAAACCACCTATAGAACATCTTATACCTATTTTCTTTGTAATTATTTGTTTTTTAGCTTATTATTACCATCCCATATCTCTCACCATGGGTTTAAGTTAATATTAAGGCCCACATTTTGGACCCAATTTTATCATATATTCTTTTATTTCATTTTGTATTTTTAATTCTTGTAGATAATTATACAACATTTTGATCAGTTTTTCCTCTACATTCAGAAGTACCTTATCTCTTGGTGTCTGTTCCTTATAAAAGCTTTTGTTTTGTCTCTTGTATATCTTGAAACTTTGCATATTTGTCCACCCATCAAGTATTATGCAGTATATCACAGAAGTGAGTACACCCCCTCACATTTCATAAATATTTTAGTATATCTTTTCATGTAACAATACTGAAGAAATGACACCACCTTTATCCTCAGCTTCTTTAGCAAGACAGTGGTCGTTTTGGAGTTGTGTTTGGGATCGTTATCATGTTGGAATCCTGCCCTGCAGCCCAAAGGGAGGGATCATGCTCTGCTTTAGTATGTCACAGTTGGCATTATGGTCTCTTAATGAACTGTAGCTCCCCAGTGCCAACAGCATTCTTGCAGCCCCACGCCATGACACTCCCACCACAGTGCTTGACTGTAGGCTCGAAACACTTTGTACTCCTCACCTGGTTGCCACCACACACATTTGACACCATCTGAACCAAATAAGTTTATCATGGTCTCATTGTGCCATAGGACATGGTTCCAGAAATCCATGGCCTTAGTCTGCTTGTCTGCAGCAAACCGCTTTCTTGTGCATCATCTTTAGAAGAGGCTTCCTTCTGGGATGACATCCCTGCAGATCAGTTTGATGCAGTGGGCGGCGTATGGTCTGAGCATTGAAAGACTGACCCTCCACCCCTTCAACCTCTGTAGCAATGCTGGCAGCACTCATACATCTATTTCCCAAAGCCAACTTCTGGATACGATGCTGAGCACGGGCACTCAGCTTCTTTGGTCAACCATGGTGAGGCTTGTGCTGAGTGGAACTTGTCCTGTTAAACCACTGTATGGTCTTGCCCACCATACTGCAGCTCAGTTTCAGGGTTTTGGCAATCTTCTTCTAGCCTACGCCATGTTTATGGAGAGCAGCAATTCATTTTCTAAGATCCTCAGATAGTTCATGACCATGAGGTGCCATGTGGGAACTTCCACTGACCAGTCTGAAAGAGTGAGAGTGATGACACCTCCTCCTCCTTCACACCTGAGACTCGTGACACTAATGGGTCTCATGATACCAGGGAAGGAAAATGGCTACTTGGGCCCAATTTGGACATTGTCACTTAGGTCACTTTTGTTCCCCGCAGTTTAGACATTAATGGCTGTGTGTTGCCTTTTTTTTTTTTTTAGAAAACAGTACATTTACACTGTTATACAAGCTGTATACTCACTGCTTTACATTCTAGACAAGTGTAATTTATTCAGTGTTGTCACATGAAGGGATAAATTAAAATAAGTGGGGTGTACTCCCTTCTTTGATATACTTTACCTTGTTCTAATTCTTTCCTTGACTTCATACTTTGGTCGTCTTTTAACAAATCTCTATACCTCAATAGTTTCTTTTTCTCCATTAATGTTGGTGGTGTGAATGTAACTACTTTTATGTAGTTGGCACTTAGGGATGTGGTGGCACTGTGGGCTAAACCGCAGAAGCCTTTGTGTGCTGCAGCAGGGGTCCCCAACCCCCGGTCCGCGGCCCGGTGCTGGTCTGTGGCCTGGGCCAGACCGGGCCGCCATGACAGACCTCCCGCCCCCCACCCGATGCACTCACCCCTGTGCTGCCCATTTGTGTCTGCGCGTGTGTTCCAGCATGCCTGTGGGAGGGCTGCTCCACCATGTGTGCATGCAAGGTCCCTGCAGAGCACAGGGGGAAGCAGTGGTGGGTAGGGCTAGCTGGGGGTGTCCACTTCTCCTGGCTGTGATAAAATGGATAGCCAGAGGCAGCCGAGGCGAGGCAGCCGGGGCTTCAGCCTCCCTGCCCCAGACCAGAGCAGCAGAGCCCAGAAAGGAATCCCAAGTGCATCTCAGACTGCCTTGCCCCTCTTTCTTTCTCCTCCTCCTGCCTGGGAGCAGTGTGCACACCACACATGGACACAGCTGCCGGTCCCCACCCCCTCAATTTCCCACCTCCGTTGGAGTCCTTTGCAAAGCAGTTAACTTTTTCACTTGGCTTTCCAGCCCCCCCCCCCATATGAAGCTGCAGCCCGAGGGATGTTCTCCTCGCCGAGAAGGGGCAATAAAAGTGGGGACGCTGGGGGTGGTGGTCAAGGTCTCAGCAGAAACCAGCATATATCTTTATTGGAACGAGATGGGGAGGACGTGGGAGTGCCTGAGTGCCGCCGTTTGACCCTGGTGATAGAGCGGGAATGAGAGCAAGAAAAGGTGGGAAGAGCATGGAAAAAAGGGAGAGGGGGGAACCCCTCCTTTGCTCCAGGAGAAAAGGTTTCATAACTCCACACCCCAATAGCCTAGGATAAGACAACCAGCTTCTGCTGGGCAGCCACCCCTTTGCCCTCTCGTTGTGCCTGTTTCTGCCCCTCTTCAGGCTTTGGTGTTGTGGCGATTTTTTCTTCTTTTTAATTTGGTCTCTGGTAAAATCAAGAAGGCGAATGTGAAGGGGGGAATGGCCAGGAGGAAGCAGAAGCAACCCAAGTGCTTCTCTTCATATAAGTGCTCCTCTTTAACCCCCATCCCCTATTTTCTCCCCCCAATCTCACTCACTCTGCCCCATCTCTCTCTGTGCCACGTTTCTCTCACACACGCTCACTTTCTCTCTGTCCCATCTCTCTCTGCACCCTGTTTCTCACACACACACACTTTCTCTCTGCCCCATCTCTCTCTGTGCCCCGTTTCTCTCACACATTCACTTTCGGCCCCATCTCTCTCTCTCTCTGAGCCCCATTTCTCTCTCTCACTCTCCAGCCAATCTCTCTCTCTGTCTCTCTGCCCCATCTGTCTGTCTCTCTCTGCCCCCCCTCTCTTTTCCTCTGTCTCCCCTTGCCCAACACCCAGTCTCTGCCTGCTTCCTTCCGCTTGTAGCCTCCTCCGTTGTTTTGTGCATTAGTTTAGGGTGCATTAGTTTAGTTACAGAGGTGACAAAGACACAGCCTGAGTTATTCCTCTTCTAGGTATTGTGCGCTTTTAATTT